AACGAAATACACAACAAATCCATTCAGTATAAAATGCGGGCATAGTGAAGAAAATTTCTTTTAAAAAATCACCACCAATAATCCATCAATGTTTATTTAAAACAGAAGTATAATAAAACTGACAAAAATCAACAAGTGAACGGCAGTTGAAGCTAAATCATGCAGTGATGTATGAAATAAACGCCAGCAAAATAACACCAAAACTAGAAGACAATGCAGAGACAGCACTTGTTGGATCTGGAATTCCGGTTGGCTCACTCTTTTCAGTTGGAGTATTTGCAGAAGAAGTTCCTGGACGAGCGCTAGCAACGGCACTTGCTGTTGTTGTGACAGATACCGAAGAGGCGGGTGCTGGTACTGAGGATGTAACTACTAGGGGGGCGTTACATAGATCGCCTGTACAGCATTTTATATTGCAAGATTCCAAGTCTCCAGTGGTGCTATTGAAGTCATTACATACTGTTAAGGTAAAAGGTACATATTAACAGTTTTCAAATCATGGAGCAATAACATATACAATCAATAGTATAAAGTTGAAACTGCATGTACAGCCCCCTCATGTGTATCTATTTTAAGAGGCTTGACTTAACCTCGAATTTAATCGGTTCTGATTTCAAGAAGAAACGTGCCTCTCATCTTTGTGAAACTTGGAAAGCAGTTTTCTATCCACCCTTCATTCCATTTGATGAACATTTTATTGTCAGTCTAAGTCAAGTGACTCACCGAAAATAGTTAATATTTAGTCAAACTGTATTCGCCTTATTGTATCGTTTACAGGGTGTTTCAAAAGTTCGTTCCCATTTTTTCTTCGCTCAAATTTCACTGATTATTAAAAAGGGGTAATAGCATTTATTTGGCATAAAAGTTCGTTCCGAAATTTTTTAATTTCGCGAACCGTTAGGCGAGTGAAATTTGATTATTGAAAAATACCTTTTGTACAAAATGTTATTCATTACTACCCGCAAAAAAATTAAGCTGAAATATCACTGCTCTAAGCCAATCAAATTGCAGTAATTTTTCATGTAGTAGTATAATTCATTTAACATTGAATAAACGAAATATCGCTAACCAGAATGTCTCTCTTTGTGTTTTCTGATATTTTCTAAGTGGTGAGGTATAGAATGTACGAGCTCCCAAAGTGTGTCTAAAGATACACTTTTCCAGGCGAAGCATAGTCATTGCCTTAGCCCGTCCAGTTATTTGGGGGCTGGTTCTTTGAATGTTTTCTCGTCAGAGATAATCCAGATGGTCTCCAGAGGGCTCACATCACGTGAGTTTGCTAGCCGGTCGCCCTTTGCAATAAAGTCTCCAAATCCTGTCTGCATGTGGGCCGCCTTTTTCTCTTCAAGGCTTTCCAACCTTTGCAGCTCATATATCTTCATACCGTTGTGCTCGAAACTTTGATTTTGTAAAGTCGAATTTTTTTTTACCTTTCTGCCTTGTATATTTATTACGCATATACTTACAGCTTTTTCGATAACATTTCTCACACATTTTAAAAAAGACGGCCATACACTCTTTGGCTCGTCTTCTTAAGTCTTTACTTTCGACCACTTGTTCACTTATATCATTAAGACTTTAACAGTTTAACAATTTCTTTGACTGGGTGGCCAGAGAACCAAAAAAAATAGATGCCTTAGCTTTAGCGCAAACAGTTTAGGTCTTCATTTTCGTGCAAAAAGGAGAAAATTAAAGAAAACGGGAAAAAGACGAAAATACAAAACCTACAAAATGGGCAGGAAAAATATGGCGGGAAAAAACTCGCGTACGTGCACATTTGGGGTAAAACTTCAAAAATATTATAATTTCTTCAAATTTTAGTTTGAAATTGCTTTGAACGGTTATTTAGAAAAATTTCTTACCAGACTCAGTTTACATTTGCCTAAAGAAGCATTAAATGCTTTGCGCAAACTACAATTTATAATCGGAACGAACTTTTGAAACACCCTGTACCTATGTCTCCTAGTTTGGGCTTTAGACTGGCGCCTTTTCATCATGTCCATTTGTTATCGGAAACCGTAAATAGAGTAAAACAGGTCACGTGACTTATCAATTATAGTTATCACTGAGATCATGTTAATAACAATCTTAATTTTCAAATTTTTAAAGTGCAAAAGTATACTCCATTTGAAGGAACACCTTTTGCAACCTCATCAGGAGCAACTGGAAATCATGTTACAGTTTATGGCATTTGTACGATAAAACATGTCAAATATCACATATATTAAACCTTCTGAGTTTCACCACTGAAACAGATTTATTCTAACGGACTGCAAGCGAGATCGGTATCTGCTGAGTGGGGGGGCTGAAATGAAACCGGCCACGAAATGATCCCCAAAGCGAGTTTACAAAAACGTTTAAATAAACCTCAGGGATTTGTCCTCAGGGATAGTAGAGCGAGAGAAACGCGAGCGCGCGTGCAAATCACCCCACGCGCAAAAAGGCGTTTTGCTCGCTCTACTATCCCTGAGGATAAATGGGGGGACTACTCGTAATCTACGTATTTCGCTATTTCTGAGTGTCTCCGATCTTCCGGTTAATTCTTCATGACCAACTGGCATTACTTCAGTGCAGAGTGTGGCAGCCTGGCTGTTTATGCCGGAGTGAATAAACAAAAATGTGAGCAAAACAAAGTGGCCAAATTTTTTACAGTGAAACTGAACGGATGAAATTCAATAATACGCAAAAAAAATATATAAACGTTATACTGTTCGATGGATAACAACTACTTTTTAAGCACCTGCAAAAAAAAACAAACAAACAAACACATAACAAGAACAAAAACAGCAAAACAACTCTGGAAGATTGTGAAGCTGATCTCAGAGACTTTTCGTCGATCCGCATATATTAATTCTTTGCATAATTCTTCGCCTCATTTACCAATTGCTAGATATACATGCGTTTTAAAAGTTTCAACCCCTGATTTCCAACACGGTACATAGGAAGTAATTTTTTCAAAAGAAACTAGTCTTGAGCTCGAGGTGGGCAGGCAAGGCTGACTGACGGTAGGGATAATTGAAAATATATAAGTATTACACAAGTACAGCGTAGCATAAACCTGTGACGGTTACGGATTAGTATCAAATAAATAACTTTATTATATAAACACCAATGAAATACCAGATGAGCTTTCCCGCGAAAACTTGATATCTTCACATGTGAACATATCGCCGTTGCTATGGCTACATAATAAATTCCGCCTTTCACACCAAAAAACTATTTTCATTACATAGCCGCTTGGAGATACGAAATTTCTCTTCTCGTGTCGAAACAATATTTCAAATATTTTTCAACACTCGAAGAGAAATTTCGTATCCCCGCGCGGCCATGTAATATCCTCTATCTATAGAATAATTGGTATTTCAACTTACAGCTGTATTGCGATAAGGGATCACACCCCATGCTATTGGCACAACTTAGCGCTGTAAGTGAAGTCCCTTTCAAGGTATACCTCACAGTAGAGCATCGATTGAGCAAAGGGCAAGTCTTATTTCCAATTTGTCCGATATTGCCACCGTTGCATTTACCAACACTTCCAGGATCTTCACTGCATTCATAGCATTTGAGAGCAAGAGCTGCCGATGGAATGAAAAGAGGTTTGAGGTCAGTTAGCAGCCGCGGATCTACACCGGTTTCCACCGTTTTACGGAAATCGGTCAGCGTTTTCATCATAAATATATTTTTAATATAACGTAAATCCTCTATTAAGCCCCCCGGAGGACTTATTTATTTCAAGCCTATTTGAGGGGGGACTTATTGGAGAGGGGGTTCTTATTTAATTTAAGAAAGACGATGGTATCAGCTCTTCATAAAGAACTAGAATGCAATGAGGAAAAGCTCAAGTACAAGAAGCTTAAGGTCATGCAGCCGAAGATCAGAATCAAATCCGATCTTCCAGTTGGTAAATAAACCATCCCGGATCAGTTCGCAAGGAGTTTTACAGTCGTGGTTGATTAATACAGTCTATTATTTATTATTGAAGAATAATTATAAATAGGGGCGGGGCGCTTAGTAGAGAGGTGGGGCTTATTAATTTTCTCCCCCTGAAAAGGGGGGGGGGGCTTATTAGAGGGAGGGGGTTTATTTGAGAGGAGGGGTTATTAGAGGATTTACGGTAAAAAAAACCTCTCCAAGCTGAAATCGAAACATGAAATAATCCGCCAATTTCCAAGGATTTATCCGAGGAGAATGGAACTGACCAATATACTGTCTGAATGATTCACAAACCCAGGAAATTTCCTGGGGAAACATTCCCCCGAACCCCCCTAGAACCCTGCGCCTTCGGCGCTGGTTCAGGAAATCGATCGGTATTTATCCTAGGTCCGCGCATCGGTAGGGTAAAGTAATGTCACTGAATCCGTTATGGAGCTTATACAATTGTAAAGGACCTTTGGGGACGCCGGTAAGTCCTTCGAAAGTGTTATGTGAAAACTTGACTTTACGTGAAAACTGATTTATTGCCATCTCACATGGACAATAACTTTACAAGCAAAGGACTAGCTGGATCTCTTTGCCACTCCATTTATCCTGACTGGACTCACTTAAAGGCTCTAAATCTTCATTTCAATTTTAGCTTTACATCAGTAGAAATCATATTGGTTCGAAAAATTATTACTATTTTTTTCCTTCAAGGTTATCGCGTAGTAAGAAAATCGAACTTTTTTCTAACATTCATGTAGGTCCTGTAAATGTCCAGTAAAACAAAATAGTCGGAGGGGTATAAAGACTGTAAGGACTGTTCCTATAAATATGCCTCCAAACATATGCCAGCTCAATAAAAGGTCCTCAGTTAAAACGCAATACAATGGCAGAGGCAGTATTTCTTTGGAAGAATTTAACTTATCTAGACAACTATGGCTGGTTATGAGTCGTGTTTAGAGTGATTTTACTTAACCTGTGAAATAGTTAGAAAAATACTACGCAGCCTGGGGCCAGGCTCCGCAATAGCCCACTTCGGAAATAAGTGATAGCCTGGGACCAGACTAAGCACGTGCGCGTTTATGGGATCGTTTGGGGGGACAGAAAAGCCCGAGCAGCCACCTGGAATAATGCCGGGACATGCAAATTGCCGTGTGCCTTTGCGGCTAAATAATTTCAAAAACTCCCATTGTCTGGCATTTTATCAAATACCCAAGGCAAGACGTATCCGGCGAGAATATGTACGTTTGTTCCAGAACTCCGATAGCACAAGGATTTGCTCTGCCCATTGGGATGGTGGTGAAAAGCGCAGTAGAACGCATCTACCATCTATCTTTCCTTGGAGTAAAAAAACACGTGAACGACGAATTCTATACAGGTCAGAGGCAACCTCGAATTCAAGAGCCAGGAAAAGAAACACTGACATTTCTTGTACCGAAATGGACGTTAAGGATGACTCAGTAAATGAAGTGTCAGTTGAATAGATTGACGTGGACACTCAAAGCAACAGTGTTTCACCGACTCTTTCCTTTTGTGATGCTGAGAGGCAAACTGAAATAACCGGAGAATTTCTCGATCGATTGGAATTTGAATTAAAATCGATTGGCGAGGAAAAAGACAAATTAGCAAACGAAAAAGACGAGTTGACTAGAGATTCAAAGAGACTTCAGCATGCACTGAAAAATCCGAAGTTTGGCATTTCAAAATTTAAGGAAAAGGGTGAAGATATTGAATTTTACACTGGCCTTCCACACTGGGATGCACTTATGCTTCTTTATGTTACATGACAAGGCTCAGAACTTAAATTATGGCTCCTATGCGAAGAAAAACACCATTCCTGAGCAAAATCTAGGAAGACCCAGATCAATGAGTATATTTGGAGAGTTTATTTTAACTTTGATGAGACTTTAGGTTTAGGTATATTTCAAAAGGATTTAGCACATAGATTCAATGTTTCAGAAACAACCGTTTCCACTTTGTTTAATACCTGGGTGCGGTTCATGAGCTGTTTCACTGTGCATTCTTCAGGTTTCTCTCGCGGTAAAATAGCCCCAGGCACATCCCCTTCCTTCAGCTTCACATTTTCATGTTTTTTTCTTTCATCGCTATCTTCCCTTTGGCTGTTTTGAACTGTTTTAACCCCGCTACATTTTACTTTGCTGTTCGCCATGTTTGTTTCGCGTCCCCCCCAGACCATCCCATAAACGCGCGCGCGCTTAGTTTGGTCCTAGGCAATCACTCATTTCCCAAGTGGGCTATGGAAAAAGGCAAAAAAAGAGATCAAATGCGAACGAACAGAATTGTTCTTAAACCTCATGCATCACATAATCTTCATGATGTACATAATAATGTCTGAGACTTTTATTGAGATTGATACACTGCAACACCTTGAAATTTCAAGACAAAACTAGCCTACGAACCGACCAAAAATCGCGTTAAACTTTTACTATTTTGACGTTATCCTAATTTTTCCAAATTGATGCGGACCATACATACCTCCGTGAATAGTACAAAATTCCTACAAAGGGTTGCAAACAAACGAAAAATTCTTCCACTTTTCTTGCACAGGCAAACGGCCAGAAAAAAATTCTTGCGAGCCAAAAACCACCCACCCCCGCCCTCCATCCCCCTTACTTTTCTAATTGTCCGTGCCTAAAGAAACTTTAATTGGTCATGTTCACGAGATACTGAGATGACCCGACGAAGGGTAGTTGTCAAGGAACAAAGGAGTTTGTCGCCTAACAAAAGATTGTATAGTACGCCTCCGAATCTTCTCGACGGCATCTTTTGCTTCGTGCAAACAGGGCCAAACTTGAGATTTTTCACAAATATGAATTGCGGTTGCCTCAGTGGCAAATTCATAATGCCGCGCAATGTATTGGAAAAATTCTCAAATTCTGCGTAATCCTCTTTTTTACCATATTTGGGTGTAAGTAAGACCCCATATTTAGACAATGACGTCATGGTCTTGTACAGTGAAACATCTATTCAGCGGACACCTTCGGGGCCTTTTCAAGTGTCCGCTTAATGGAGGTTTGTAAAAATTGGGCGGAGTTTGTTAACGATTAACACTCAACGGTTACTCGATACTGTGATAAAGTTCCATGTTGTTAAGGGAGCTAAGGAAGCTTGCTGCACTTTATGCAAGACTTTTGGGTGAACTTTGATCGCCGATAACAATTATACAGCCGGATATCGGTCTAATCTACAGTTTATTGACAGCTAAAGTACGTATTTCAACAACGTAATCCAATACTGCCGATTGTCAATTCGCGAGTGTCCGCGTCCCCTTAATAGAGGTGTCCGCTGAATAGGGGTTCGCTATAAAGGGAAATACAAGACGTTAATTTTGGGACCCAGCTTAGGGTCCGTTCCTGGGGTCCGTTTAAAAGAGGGTGTCCGCTTAATTGGGTGCCCACTTAATAAAGGTTTCACTGCATTTACAACTCGTGAGTCTAACTTGGGTTATCCAGTGTGTGAGTAATTGTTGTCTGTTGCAGGGGACTCAACAGGTTAGCAAGCTTTAATACGATTTTTTGCTTGAAAGGGCCATCAGTGCTCTGTTTTGCTTAATTATTTATAAATTGCTTTTAATTAAGGCAGCAGCTGATCAAGGAATAAAAGTAGAGTTGTACGATCACATTTTTGTCAGAACCAGCTTGTTCCTCACGGCTCTATTTATATTGAGCCAGCGTTTTTGCTTCTCTACTCAGAACCTGGGCTTTCAATGTTCTTTTTTGCCTCAGGCTATTGAAGTTTAAGCAGTAGCTGATCAAGGAATAGGGTTAAACGCTCAAAATTCTATAGGAACCAGCGTGATCTGCAGTTCGATTTGCATTGAGCCAGTCCTCTTCTCCTGTGAGGAATGCAACGAATTTGCGGACCTTTTGTTTTAGAGACTATGTTTATGCCTTTCGAGAGACTCTTCGTCCTGTGACACTCGCTCATTACATCTTTGTAGTTTATTCAAGTCTATACATTTTAACATCTCACATACATACTTCGCCCCATTCTTCCTCTTTTCACACATTTTGATTTACACCATTTTTTTTTGTTTTTGTTTTTTTTTGTTTTTTTGTTTGTTTTTTTTTTTCATGTATATAACACCACGCGAAATTTTCTTTTAACATCCCTGATGACGCCGTTGATCGGCGGAAGCTCGGAATTCAATTTTTGTTTTTAATTAAAGTAGTTAATAAAGGCCTTACTCGAATAGTATTGTTACTTTCTAACGTTTATAGTTTCTTACATTGGAACTTAACTCATGAAAAATAAGAGCTAACTTGCTCAAATTTACCAACAAAGCTTCAAGCCAAGTTGTTATTGTTTAATAAGAGTGAAAGCCAAGAATGTTTCGAAGTTGTTGTTTCAAACCTGGGTGAAATTTATTAGCCATCTTTTCTACAGCAAAATCAGTTTTAGACCTCTAAAATTATGTAACAAATTGTGAAGAACCATTAGGCACATTCCACAAAAGATAAGCGAATTCGCCTCAATAGCACTTGTACCCCTAGTTGTTATTCTTATCCTTCATGCACCGGCTGTATTCGCTTGACTTCTGCATACTAGCGCGTTTTGCTAGCGCGTTATGTTGATAAAGTTAACAGGGAGTCCGAGTTAACAACGGAATAGAATGAACGCAAAAAAGGTTTGCTATGGTAATATTGAAAACTTGTAATATTCACCGGGGAATCTATTTGAAGGACATCGCTGTGTAAACATTATCTGGCTTTCACTCGACCGAAAAACGTCAGTTAAAAGAAATAACCCATTTTGCTCAGATACTGGGTAGAAAAAAATACATGTTTTGAACTTAAATTAAAACGAGGACAGGAATTTTAGAAAATCAAGTTAGAGGAATCCCGGGTAACGAAAATGCGTAAGTAGAATGTTCATCGGTTTGCCAGAAATTACTTGGACAGCTGTCTTACCGGGGGGGGGGGAACCTTCCTGTTTCAAGGACTATGTGCTGGGCCAATTCAACCTGAAATTAGGTAAAAGCCTTTTTTTGAAAAGTGGTCGACCCTGAGAATGGCAAAATGACCGAATAATACGGTTTAGCCCTTTGAATACAGGTTTGACAAACCTAAGAGTTATTCAAGAAAATATAACGACGGTGATACAACGAAATAATCATCAAACGACAAGTCGACTTCAAAGTCTTCCTACATAGTGTTTCTTTCTCGTGCTAGAAATAAACATATGAGGAATAAGACCATTAAACGCTATGCACAATCGAAATCTTGACAAAGTGACCTTTTAATACAGATGAAGACAATAACAAATAACTCGTAAATACAGGTCATTTTTACGGTAGTTAAAGGAAAATGATTTCCGTCAGTAAATTCTACCCCCATGGATAAGAATTGGGTTATTGCTCTCTGGATCCAGGTCCTGGAATTGGTTATGCTGTTCTCAAATCTTTCTTGAAAAACAGCGGCCTATATTTAAAATAGGGAAGCGAAAATTACATATTTCGCCCAGAATAGTACCCCCGGCCCGACGGGAAGCTGTTTGATATAGTCGGGATGAGACAAAATGTATTGCTCCGAGGATCGTTGAATTTTAATCCTATGATAATGATAGGATTCCCTTGCCAATGCCTTTTTGTAAAAGGCCGGCATGAATAGAAGACAAATCCAGTTCGTAACCATTCATAAGTGAAGTGTTACTTGAGAACCGTTTACAGATCACCAATATTACGCCACTATCTGGAAATCAGTTCGTTTTATTGGAAGCACCGTCAAGAAGCTAGTTCCAAGTACGCATGCCACCGGGTTTAATAGCGTTCACACAACTTTTGTTCACCTTAATCCGGCTCTAATGCTCTTCGGTTTAAATAAGTATGACAGAAAACGTTTTTAACATCCATAACCATACTAGAAAGGACACCTGAATCCGGTCTCGGTGTAAGTTGATCAGTAACACTGATCGACCGACCTTACCTTGTTTGTTATTCTGAGATTGCCTGCAAACGTTCCGCTTAGGGTAGTCAAGAAACTCAGGTACGAAAAATAGCGTACTTAAGAATGCGCTTGCTAATGTCTGGAATAATAGTATCATCTGAGTATCATTCTTCTAG